CCATCCACTGCCACCTGTCCACCCCATTACCCTCGAATTCACAGAACTGTCCCCGGCTGCACATCCAGGCTTCTGCGGAGCAGACTTCAGCTCCCCACGGACCCCCTGTGTTAGCTCACAGGGCATCCACACCGTGTGCGGTTCCCTGGCTCTGCTATTAACCACAAGCTCATGCTGTGCCTGCTGGGCTAGATTTCCTTCACCCGCTTGGCTGTCCCCAAAATCCCTGCTGTCAGGGTGTCAGTGTGCAGTCAGTGGGCCGCGAGTGGTCCAGCACTGTCCCCACCCTAAACCCCCTGGTCCACTCACCAGAAGCGCCCCACTGTCGCCATTTCCCTTTAGACCCAGTGTAGGTTTCCTTTCAATGGTTTTCCCTCTTCCACCAAACGTCTCAATGCTCTGAAGCTCTGTAGCCTCCCAAGAGGCCAGGAGCTTTTGCCATGATACTGCTGTCTCTAGGATGCACAGTGTGTCCTATGTAATTCCTGAGGCTCCAGCCCTACCTCTGCCCATCTATATGAGGGACATGTGTTCAGAGGACACCTAGGCCACCAAGGGGCTGGGAGACCATGGCAGCTGCTCATGATTGCTGTCACATTCACTGTCGCTCCAGATCTTTGCCTGGTCTATGAGCCAACTGTACAGAGCATTTTGTTCTTCAGGGCACAGAATTTAATCTGGTCTACTCAAAGTGCCTTCAGTAGATCCTCAAACCAGTACCTGTTACCTGCTTAGTTTTCTGTAGGTGAGGAGGCACCAAACAGGAGACACATCAAAACCGAGTGGCAGTGAGCCTTAACATGGAGCTCTGCCCCTTTAACCATCAGTGTCTTGTCACTAGACATCAGCTTTGTCCACCACAAAGTGTTCAACTTTCATCAACACAGCAATATAGTCTTCTGTCAGCAGAGATAGGTAATCCTCAAAGGATTTCTTTCCTCTCTGTTCACAAAAGGCAAATGATGGGGATCTGACAGGAAACCACAGCATATCCCCAAAACACTGTATATCATCCCATAGATGAGTGACAGCCCAAGTGACAGGAGCTGGCAGCCTTCAGCTTGGCAGGTGACAATACTCAGACGATAGCATTTCTGCCAAGAGCTAAATACCAAGCAGTCTGATGAGTGCCATGTCTTCTACATGATCCATTCAATGCTGTTGTTTTTTTTAATTACAGCACAGGATTACTTAGTATGAGTTGACTTTGAGGGAAGTTCTACAATATATAACAATGTACTAGTATGAAATGGATTTTTCTTTTATAAGAGGTCAATGCTGTTTGAGATGGATTCCCTATCCTACTCAGACACCCAGGCTTCCACACTAAGCTGATTAGTTTTGGGCAAAACAAGAAAAATATGAATTTGAAGGTTATCCTTGTCTGACTTTGCTTAAAAATCCAACACCCTATAAGCCCTCCTGTGTCCTCATCCTCTAGTGTAAGGGCCAGGGTTTGCTCTGTGAAAAGGAAATGCATTCTCCATGTAAAGGAGGTTGTTGAAGAGGGACAGTCAGGACACACACAGCACAGAGGCCCCGGCCTAGGAAGACACTGGGGGCTCCCCCAGGAGGCAGGAGTATCCAAAAGGGCTGTGCAGATTTCATGGACACTCAGTGAACTGCCTGCTGATTCAGCGTACACCCTGGGGTCTGGGGAGCTTCAGGACTGGCTAAAGTCTGCTGAGGGGATGTAGTTTGAGGTGATTCAGCTCTATGCAGACAAAACATGAGGAAAAAACCCACCTCCTCCAACCACTAGGAGTGCCCTGCCTCAGGCCTGGTTTGGGGAGGTCGCTTACAGGAGTTCTCATCAAGTTCTTGTTTTGCTCCTAATCTCTGACCTTTGAAAACTTGTATCTCCTCATACACTCCTAATTTACAACTAAATTTTTTTTTTTTTTTTTTGTACCAGGGATCCAACTTGGGCCCTTACACTTGCGAGGCAGGCACTGGAATCACTGAGCTAAATCCCCCGCCCACAACTAAATCTTTTTATTAGTTTTTTTTGTAGTTATTAATTGAAGATGTGATTTCTGGCCTGGACACTGACATTTTAAAATCAAATCCTTTCGTTTCTTTTTTTTTTTTTTTTTTTTTTTTTTGGTACCGGGATTGAACTCGAGTCCTTGCGCTTGCAAGGCAGGCAGCGGAACCACTGAGCTAAATCCCCGGCACCCTTTCGTTTCTTTACACATTCATTTGTGCAGCACCTTGTACTGCGCACCCCGCCCTCTGCTCCTTCCCCTGACCGACCTGCCCACACCTCTCCCCAGGTGGCACTGTGGTCACCTGAGCCACCACCCTGCCCTTCTGTTGCCTGGTTACCTTGGGACTGAAGAGGCAGAGAAGAGCTGAAGAGGCAGCGAAGCCCGGGGCAGGGTCTTACTACTGCTGAAGAAGAGCTCTAGGTGAACATGGCCGCCACCCCACTTCCGCTCCCCTCACTTCCGCTTCTGGCAGACATGTGGTAGGCCCTTTGCCGGAAGTGGTCTTTCCTGAGCTTGATTCTTCTTTCTTTCTTTCTTCTTCCTCTTCTAGCGTGAAGTTTGACCCAAGTAATGTGCTTTTATCTGGGAAAGTCTTTTGTGCTCACCCTAGCCTCTCTACAACAATAACAAAAAGTTTTATGAGTATTAAAATTTTAAGTTTGTGACAAAAAGGATTTGTTAGTATCTACTGAATTGTTTTTCCAAACCCCACAATGTTATAGTTATTCAAAAGCATGAATATGACAAATTGATAAGTCTCACATGGGAAAGCAAAATTTTACTGAAACTGCACCTCTTAAGGAGAAGAGTAGAGTTTCCAACCAGAGTGTTCCTGTGCCCAGGAGTCAAGATGATCTTGCTCCAATGAACAGGTTCAATTTCTGCTATATTCAAGTCTCATTCTATAGAAGTGCTTGAAAACTTTGCATGAACCTGAAGAAAAGTAGACATAATTTTGCAATGCCCCTCTCTAGTGTCTTGAACACCTACATAGTATCTCCCTAAGGTGATCTGAAATTTTAAAATGTCTTAATGCTTTGTCAGCTGTTAACTCAACTAGGTTTTCATTTCATGTGCTTTGAAAGCAAAGGATTACAGACCACATGACTTGCAACAGGATATGTTATACTGTCATTCTCAATTTCTGGTGTGTTTACCAGAGAGGCCATACTCCCTTTATCAAGGGACTGTTATTTACCCATGATTCTTTTGTCACCTTGTTAAACCTTAGTAGTCTGAGGGGGTTGAGTACATTGAAATGTTTATATCAGTGGTTTTTTTTTTTTTTTAACAAATTTAATGTTTTTTGATAAACCGCTTTTATAGCCAATTGTTTTAAATGTATTTTCACAGAAACCTTGAAGTTAGATTTAGTTCATTCTATTTACAGTGAAAGTCCTCCCTGTACCCTAATCCTTCTCAACAGACCAGTGAACAAAATAAGACAGTTTCCATCAGAAAATGTCTGACCTATTTTTTCAGTTGAAACAAAATGTTAGTATACTTTCCCAGGGATATTAAAAAAGAAAACCACTAAGAAACAAATTATAATATACATCTTAGAAGATAAGCTATTGACGGCAATAAAGTTAGGCCTTTATGCATATAGGTCTAATATAATTAACTGTTCCATTTTAAGGTGCAGTAAAAGAAAATGAGACTTATTTGTAACAACTTTATGAAACATGTAGGTAAATGTTCAGGTTATGTACTAACTGAAGAGAATGATAAAAGACATATGTTTACTGCTTTCAGGTGCTAACTACTAAATAAAAGCCACTCAAATACCTCTGTCTACTTGTCTGTCTGTCTATTGAAGTGCTGGGAATGGAACCCAGGCCTGGGCATCCAGACAAAACACCCAACTGGACTACATTCCAGCCCCTCCCACAGTGATTTTGGTAAACATCAGCATCAAAGTTGCCCTTGTGTTCAATGAAAAAAGGAGTACATATTGTTAAGAATTCATTAGTACAGTAGCTGACGCACTGTCATATTGTTTGTAGTATTATTGAAGAGTATTCAACTCAGGAAATAAGGGAAATGAGTAAAGAAGTGAGGGAGATTGGGTGAATCAGCCAGCCAACCCTGAGGAAGAAGTCAGGGAGGTACTGAGAGGCAGCCACGCTGATGAGTCAGTTATCCACCAGGTGTTGACTTGGTCCTGTTTTTCGCTTGGGACAGATGAAAGGATGAGTGCATCCAACCGAGCTGAGTGAGTCAGATTCTCAACTGAGTCCGTTTTTTCATCTTAGTTCCAAAATAGAGAAACAAGCTATCTGTGTGTAACAGTGCTGCTTTGTACTTTGGTTCTTTTGACTTTTCTAAAACAATTTTCTGTGTTTGTTTTTCATTTACTTATAGAATATTCAGATGGCTACATTTTTTAAAAAAGGAAACTAAAGTTAAAATCACTCCAAATCCCATCATCCACAGGCCATAACCGGATTCTCCCACATGCCCACAAACATAATACACCCACACTTCTGTAGGACCAAGGTATAAAAACTGCTTGTAACCAATGTCCCACTGTTTGTTATAAATGTCTTTCCGAAACAGTATAGTTGCAAATGCAGTTCTACTTTATAACTTGTCATTTGTTTCTTTGCACCCTGTTCCTTCTAATGGTCTTGTTGAGGGTCACCATTCTGCCCAGACCCTCCTCGGATGTGACCTCCACACCAGGCAGTAATGTACGACTGTGGTCCTTGTCCCTTTTATGGGGACGTGAGAAGGGGTCGTCACACTGTTTTCCTCCACTCCACCGTATACATGGGAGTGGGGTCAAGGTCCTTTTCGGGGAGATGGAGCAGACAGGAACCCAAGTGGGTCGGGACTGCCCTGCGCTGGCTAAGTGCATTAGACACTACGGAGCGAGACCTTCAGTCTCGGGGGCATTCATCCGCACCTCTCAAACTATGCCCAGCAGGTTATGATCCCACACGACTCACTGGGGACAAAGACAGAAATGTGGTGAGAAGAAAAGAAAACCTCGGCAACACCTCGGTAGTGAAACGTCTTATTTTTATTGAGAACATCTCAAGTCCTTTGTCTATGTGCGACAGCGTCTCATGCTCAGCTCCAGCTGGCCTCGGCGTGACAGGAAGCTCATGCAGGCTGTAATGTGTGATATATACACAAATGTACATATGGAGAACACTGACGATTATTTTAGCAACGAGTTTCTTGGCTGAATTACATTCATATAAAGTGTCCAAATTCTAAAATAAAATGAAAAGCATATAACCCAAAGCCTGGAAAAGCAAACAGCTTAGGGGCTTCCTCATTAACACTCCATGGACTGTGCTTTTAACCACTGTGCTCCCTTTAAGAGGACCCCAGTTCCTTCCAAACCATCCCCTCACTGGTAAACAAGGAAGGGCAGGGGCTGCCCACACGACGCGGCCTCCACACACACTGAAAACGCACTCATGCCCTTACAACCGAGTCATGGCCACAGCAGACCCCGTGGGTCAGGGGTTTCCCTGTTTCCACTCCAAGCCTCCAGGGAACTCAGGACTCCAGGGTGGACAGCCGAGCAGCCCACCCACCTCCTTGCACTCGGGGACTGATTCTGGGGACAAGAACACGGAACAGCACACACTGGACACAAGTCCTCTGCCCTTTCCACAAATATAACTTGGGGTGACATAAAAGAGGTTCCCTAATTTTACAGAATTTAGAGAGGAGAGAATCAGCTAATTTTATTTCTCTTGTTGGGTCGAAACTGAGTGTGTAGAGCTGGCATTTCTGATGAAAGTCATCCCAGATGTGAGAAGAGTCACCTGTGCCGCCTTCATCTGCTCAGAGGCCAGGGCGATGTATAGCTGTCCTGGGGGTGGGCACCCCTCCTGGGCTGTCACCTGAGGAGGACGCGGCCACCTGTCTCACTGCAGGAAGAACTTGGGTGTAGGAGAAAGTGGTGACTGTGTAATTCCAGAGAAGTCAGAGCCTTGTGAGACTCTGGCTTGCACATTTAAAAACAACTCCTTTTAATTACAGAGCACATTCTCAAACAGGAAAGGATGATGCACAATGAAGACTCAGAATCAAACCTGCAGTTTCTGGCAGGTGAGGTGCAGGTGGTCACGTGTGTGGAGGTGGTCAACAGCCACCAGGCTGATGGGGTCCCTGGGCCCAACTCCAACTGGGAGAGCCCCAGGTTTACACAGAAAATGTGTCCCTGCTCCTCCCGACACCGACTCCCCACCGAGCAAAGCTGTCCCGAGCCACCCCGAGGACAGGGTCTCCACGGAAGTGACACCTTGGGGTTCGCTGACCAAACAGAACTGACCACCCTCGCTCGGCAAGATGTCCTCAACACTTAAGGGTTTTGTTTTGTTTTTGTTCAAAATGTCAAGTCCCTGGCTGCGTCGGGTTTTCTAAGTCTCTCAAGTGCAGATCCAGGACATGGGATGTGGCTGAGCAGTGACAAGGTGACCCGTGACGGGTGACGCACAGCGAATCCTGACTGCTGACGAGGCCCTGCTTTTCTGACCGCGGCTGGGCTGTCTCTGTGCTCCTGTCCCCTGCCTTGTGGTCCCTGGGCCGCCCGCCCCTCTCTCCAGGCCCCAAACCCGTAAGACCTTAACATCTGGGATGGGGTCTGCTGTCCACCTTTAAGCTACAACTCGACAGAAGGACAGGCAGACACACAGGGTAGTTTTGTTTCTATGTATATGGAACATATCTGCACTGGACTAAATACCCCAAATCCACATATTTCTTAAAAACTAAGTCCATCTCCCAATCCCCACTACAAAAAAATACAATTTATAGAGCCAGGAGTAAGTTTTTTTGGAGCATACTCAGGAGGGCAGCAGCACCACCAGGCCTCTTCCATGGGTACAAAGCAGCCTGGTGTATCTGACCCAAATGAGACCGCACGGTGGCACACGGGGTCACCCCAGCTGCAGAGAAGGCTGGTGTGCAGACTCACTTGCCCTGGACCTGGACGTGTGCAGACAGCGCTCCCACCCCGAGGCACACGGGTCCAGCGAGGTGGCGCCACTCACCCTGCAGGCACAGGGAGAGTGAGAAACCCAGCTATGTGTGCAGCTCAGGGCCCTGACGGTTCCCGGGCCTCTGTTCCCGGCCCTCAATCTGCCCTCTTGCGACCCCCAAGTGCAGACAGTACTGAGCTATGGCAGGCAGCACACACAGCTCTCCTGGCTCCTCTAACCCTGAGTGGAAAAGCTACAAGGCACCTGGTGCGAGTCTCCGAGCACAGGTCCAGGTGGGCACACCAGGCTCTGACCACCAGGCCATCCTGCGCACTGGAGGTGCTGAGCAGTGTCCCTGGTCCCCCTCGTGACGCCAGCAGCTCTGAGCCCTGCCTCACGACATCAACGCCCAGTCTGCACCTCGCCAGCGTCACACCGTCTGGCCAGCTCCAGTCTGCGTGCTTTTTAGCTTTCAAACATGTCTTTGATAAAGCTGAAAAGAAAAACTTAAAAACACGCTTTCTGTGGCCTGCTCGGAGGGTGTGACTGCCGGGCAGTTCTAGTCCCATCCAGGGCACCCTTGGGCTACTGGGCTTCCCGTGTACAGGTCCCTGGGAGGGCTGCACAAGTCCAGAGCCAAGCCAAAGGGGTGGTCAGGATGGGGCCTCTGGCCGAGTCTTGTCCAGGGTTACTGGAAATGAGCTACGAGTTTCCAGAACCCGATCCCACCAGAGCACAGAGGCTCCCAGCGGGGCTGCGGCAGAAGACACGGTCACTACTGGGGCTCACATGTAGCATGCTGGCGTCGCCAGGGGACGCACAGGTGACCCTACTGTGCACGGGGCCAGGCCTGCGAGGGACACACGTGCCGGTCCTATGGGCTCTGCGCTCCACCTCCACCTTCTCACCCTCCACATAGAAATCTTCTGCAATTAAAATAATGTGGCATAAAGCAACCTGACATAATTACTTATTTTATAAACCACATTCCTAACTCTGAATAAATTATTTATTCAAGAATTTCACACAAAGTAGTTTCTATTTTCCTAACCCTAAGGAAGCCCTACTCAGTAGAACTCAATGTCTAACGTAAACTGAGGTTGGAAGCAGTCACTGGTAACTTGGGGCAGGGAGACTCGGGGCTGGAGACAGCGAGTAGCGGCGCTGGGCCCCACCTCCCCACCCCACGCACTGCCCCGGTTCAGAGTGAGATGCCCTGCACCCCACATGCCCCCGTGCCCGCCCTGCTCTGGGTGAGGTGCATGGAGTTGATGCTGGGTCCCCTGGGCCCCCCACCACCCTTGGGTGCGCAGCCGCCCACCCAGACACGAGGCTCGGGGACACAGCAGGTGCCCGCCAGGGTCAGGGCGTGAGCAAGAACTGGTCCTGCTCCGTGGGCTTCTCCACCCAGGCGCCCAGCCCCGCCTTGATGAAGGCGGTGAACAGGCGGGTCTTGGCGGCCTGGTACTCCCTCGCCGCCAGCTTGGACTCATGGTACGTGGTGGGCTTTGTGATCTTGGTGCGCAGCAAGTGCAGGGGTACCTGCAAAAGGACAAAGTAAGTGGAGGAGTGCCGCTGTGGGGACAGCGACAGACGAGACACGCCCAGGGTGACGTCCGAAACGGTGACTGGCACTGCCCTGGCTGGGGGGAGGGGCACCCCAGAAACTCATGGCGGACAGGGCTACAGACCTGGGCTTGGGGACGGGCTCCGGGGAGATCAGAGGTGCTCAAATCCTGTCTGCACTGCATGGGTCTGAGGCCACCGCGGGGCACACACGCCCACCCTCTGAGGGGACAGCACGGCTCTGCTCAAGCCCCACCCCAGTGCTCCCTGTGGGCCTCAGTAAGTACCGGCTAACAACATGTCTGGAGAATGACCGAAAGCTAATGATACCCAGCCTAATCTATGAGATTTTATTTGGGGAAAGGGGGCCCTGAGGTGGAAACCAAAGTGTTAAAGCCCTGATGGAGGGTTTAACAGAGCCCAGGAGACTATGTTGACAAAGCCGAGGGGTGGGTGGTCCTTTCTTTACATCGTCTTCATCCGAGTGGCGGAGCAGCTCCCCCCTTGCTATGGCTTGATTCTCCCATGTCCCTGAGGGACATGTGGAAGGCTCTGTCCCCAGCGGCTGGCACTAATGGGAGATGGGGGCCTTTGGGAGTCGGAGCCGAGTGGGGAGCAGCATGGTCACTGGGCACAGGTCCAGACGGGGAAGCCCTGGCCCCTTCCACTCCCGCACTCACTTCTCAGCTGCCACAAGGTAGCAGCTCTGCCCGTCACACACTTCCTGTCATGGCATCTGCCTCACCACAGACTCAGAGCAATGGGGTGAAGCAGCCATGGTCAGAAACCTCCGAGACGGAGCTAAAATAAACCTCCCTCCTCCCAGGTGTTTTCTCACAGTGACAGAAAGCTGAGGAACTCAGAAATTGGGGCTGAGAAGTGGGGTTGGTGCTGTGACTGTGCCTGACACCGTGGTTCAAGGACTGTTCTGTAAGAAGATCTGAGAAAGTGTGGAGAAGCAGGTGAGAGAAAACTTGAAGTTAAGTTTAAAGGGTGATTCTGGTCCAGGCTCAGAAGACTCAAAGGCCGACAGAAATGCAGACAGCAAAGGGTGTGCCGATGTCTTGATGGGAAGGGGGACAGGGGACTTGTCTAGACTGCGCCTATGCCCTGAGACTCTGTGGGAGGCCGAGTTCACGGGTGACAGAGACTAGCCTACCAGACAGAGGAGAGTTCAAGGCAACACAATGCTAACGTTGTGGCCTGGGTACTGGCGGCTGCCTTTATCCAGATTTGCAGTGAGAATTGGGAGGAAAGAGCAGAGCAGAAATATTTTAAAAACTTGCAGTCTGGGCAGAAAAGGAATGTGTTTAAAGGTGCAGCCAAGGAGGGCACAACTGCTAGAGATTAATATTATTAAAAAAAGGCAAGCGCTAGGCACGGAGCTGCACCCCATAAGACCAGCCACTCGCAAGGCTGAGGCAAGAACAGCACAAGTTTTAAGTCATCCTGAGCAACTTAAGAAGATGTTACCTCAAAATAAAATTTAAAGACGAGGGATGTAGTTTTGTGGTAGAACACTTGCTTAGCCCGTGCAAGGGCCTAGGTTCAACTCCAGCCCAAAATAAATAAATTTTAAAAAGCCAAGTACTTTGCTGCTGCTCTTGGACAACGGGAATGGTGCCCTCAGGTTACCTTCGGAATTCACAAAACCCTACACATCACAGGCTCAAAGACTTACGTTCGAGAAGAGAGCCCCAGGGTACCTGCTCACACCTGGTAACCTAGGGAATTGCTTCGCCAGGATTTCATTTCCCTGAGTTCAGCCAACCAGGCACTCAGGGCCCACTGCAGCCATGATCCAAGTGGGCCTGGCTACTGTTCAAGCCGGTGGCAGTCTGTGATGCTGGCCCCTTGGTACAAGTTCTACAGGCATGCAGAACAGGAGTTCCAAGTCATGGAGGCTTCTGACCTGAGCACCAAGGCCTTGGAGGTTAGGCAGTGTGTGGCAGTGTTGGACAGAGGCCCCGCGGCAGCCCTGGGCAATGAGTGCAGCTGTGAGGGTGAACCTCAGCTGCAATGGAGACCCCAGGAAAGTGGAGATGCCAGGCACACAGGACGTCTGTCAAGAGAAGCTGCAGGCAGCAAGCAAGAACCGACCAAGAGAAAGGTCACGTGGGCTGCAGCCGGCAAGGCCGTAATATCGCCATCACTTGCCGGATCCTGGGCCTGGAGCTACAGCAGCTCATGTTTGCCCTGCCGAGCTTCAGTCTCGCTACAGTCTGATTCTTCCTTTCCATGCACCAATTCCTCCTGTTCGGGGTAGAGGTGTTTCCCCCGGGCCTTTCCTACTACAGTACTCTAAACGTATGTGACTTTGTTTTGATTTTCACAGGGCCTCACAGCTCAGTTTGCCTTGAATCTCAGAGGAGACTAACGCTAAACAGTTAAGACTTTGGGGCTCTTGGACATCAAATGAATGCACTGTGCTCCGTGAGATGGACATGAGCCTTTGGGGGCCAAGGGAGTATGTTACAGGCTGGATCTTAAACGTCCCCCAAAGGTCCTGTTAAAAGGTTAGTATCCAACTGTTACCAGCAGCTGGTGGAGCCTTCAGCACGTGGAGCCTTGTGGAAGAGGGTGAGGTCACTGGGGGCTGTCCTTGAAGGGGATACTGGGATGCTGTCCCCCTTCCCTCCCTCCGCTTCACCACATCCTCCCCGCTGTGATGGTGACAATGGCGCAAAATGACCATGGACCAAACGCTTTGAAGCCATGAGCCGAAAGGAACCTTTCCTCCTTGCCGTTGACTTTCCTTATGTACTGTGTCATAGTGATGGAAAGGTGATGGTCGCACTCCCACGGCAGACCTGGGCAGCAGTCTCGGTTTCGTGGCAAGGAAGGAAGAAGCTGTCATGAAGACAGCTTTACGCTTGCAAAGCCAGGGCCCCACGTTTAAGCTAAAAACGATCTTAAGAACAAAGAGGTTGTGACATGATCTTTTAAGGAGGCTGAGCGTGATGACACGGTGATGGAGACCACAGGAGGAACAGGAGGGATGAAGACGGACACTCTGTGGGGAGGTGAGCCGGCACAGCGCCGGGGAGGGCACCTCAGTACCTTGCCGTGCACACGCATCCAGCGACAGTACAATGCGTGCTTACACAGGCGCGATGCGCGGCCCAGCTCATCCTTCCCCGTCGTTGCATTGATGATCTCGATGGTGGAGTCACCCACTGTCCAGTTGACACTGAAATTGGGCGCCTTCCCTGGCTGCCGTGCCTCTGCGTTGCTGATTCCTGGAATGGAGCAGATGAGGAAGGTGCCATGACGCTGTGTCCACACGAGGAAGCGGGCGCTCGGCACACAGGGTCAAACATGGTCACGGATCACATGCCAGCAGTGCTGCTTGTCGCATACCCTCCAGGGAAAGGGGCAGAGCTGTGAATCCTAACTGACTGGCAGGCACCTGCCTGTCTGTGAGAAGCGGGCAGGAGGCTGGCAGCACCTGAGACCATATGACTTCTGGCTCGGGGGCCTCAGCTTACTTTCAGCCCACGGAGCAAGGAACCCTGTGGCCAGCAGGTGATGGAAGAGGCAGGGGAAGCCGCATGGGGCCAGTTCCGGCTCTGGACAGGTGGGCCAGTGTGGGTCAGCCCAGTGCCAGGTGGGCCAGCTGCTTTGGGATGGGCTCAGTTCCCTGCACAGTGTACAGGAGTGGCAGGGCTGCCCCTCAGTGTAATCCTCTGCTCTGGTGCTCATGCCCCGCGAGGACCCTGTGCTACAAAGGCCAGGCCTTACAGCTCCACACGCCCCAAACCCGAGGAGCAAACGGAGCCCCAATTCCTGTCAAGAGAACACACACATCTTCTCACTGCACTCGGACTATCTTTTCATAACCAGCCACGGGCCCACGTTGCAGGGTGGAGGCTTATGAGACACTTGGATAGGGAACTAAATGAACATCTCTCCCTTTGTGTACTGGGCTTTATAATTCACACCACATGGATGTAACAGGTTCCCAAATCAAACTGGTTTAGGGGAGCAGCCTCCAGAACATGCCTGGAACATGAGATGCCCTGAGCCATGGGGTAGCTGGCCATGAGCATCCCACAAAGCTTTCAGGTCAGCTCAGCACAACGATGCTTTGCTCTGGCGCTGCATCCGCTGTCACCGTGCTCCTCGCTTGCTCGCAACACCCATTCTCTTCCCCCTGAGCAAGAGCTGACACCAGGCAGGATCCTCACAGGAAGGTGGCAGGCATTTTTGCTGAGTCCAAGGAGACCAAGGTGGCCAAAGTTCACAGGAGAGGGTGGCAGAGGGAAAGGCAGAAAGGGACACTGGCATCCACCAGGGCATCCCTGAGTCCCTGAGAGGACTGACTGGCGGACATGGCTGCTCCCGGACAGGCAGAGGGTCAGTGAGTTTGGAAGGAAAGGCACCCAGTACTCACACCCAGAGACACAAAGACCTGCACTGAGGCCTGGAGATGAAAGCTCAGGTCTAAGGGAAAAGCACTCAGTGGAATTAGCCACAGACTAGAAGCTGCAGCAGAAAAGCTAGTGAACTTAAACACACAGTGACAGAAGACGGCCAAATGAAGCACAAAGAGAATGTAACTGGAGTTCCTGAGCAAAAGGGGATAGGCATAGAAGAATGTACCAGCAGAAAAGATTAAAAAATGTCCCAAATTTGATGAAACCAACAAAGTCAGATCTAAGAATTTCAACAAAGCTTGAACTCAAGAAACACAAAGAAAACCATACCAAAGCCCATCACGACAAACAGCACCACACCAGCATGAAGAGAAGACACACGCAGAGGACACAGACAGGAGGACAGTGGGCTTCTCAGGAAACAATGCAACCAGAAGACAGAACAGCATCTTCTGAGAAATGAAACCGAAAACTGCCTCTGCAGTCCCAGCAAAAATACACCTGCCAGCAAAATATACTTCAAAAGTGAAAGAAACAAAGACGTTTCAGACATATGAAAGCTGAGATAACTCTTCTTCACCAGATTCAGTCGATGGGAAACAGAAGGCATCCTTCAGGACAAGGTAAAGAGGGCAGGTACGGGAGATCCAGACCCACCAACAGGATGAGAGCTCCACAGTTCTACAGGGACAGGCAGGCCAGGGTTTCTTCTCTCATCATGTTATCTCCTCAAATGCTAACTGACTGGTGAAGCAGAAATAATAATGTGGGATTTTTAACATACATAAACATGAAATGGATGGGAACAATACCGCAGAGGCAGGGGCACAGAAGTGAAAGCATGAATTGTAAGATTCTAACACTAGAAGTGAAGACTATAAAATCATGGGAATGGGCCAGGGATTTAGCTCAGTGGTTCCGCTGCCTGCCTCACAAGCACAAGGTCCAGGGTTCGATCCTCGCTACCTCCTGTCCCCCCCAAACCAAACCAAAACAAAACAAAACAAAATCATGGGAAGGGACAGTACAGTAAAGTCAGGATGGATGCTATAAACTCTATACAAGAGTTTACAGCTAACCACATAGAGTTACCACTAAAAGGTCAAGAAGGCTTTATTAAAATGGGATCATAACAAGGGGAAAAAATGAGAACCAAGACCTGTCATGTAAAGGTACAAGATCCCAATAATGAATGTAACTGTACTGTATACCTAAAATGTACCAATAAACTCAATTAAAAAAATAAAATGGGATCATAAAACACTCAATGTAAAAGTAAGAAAAATTAAAAGGAAACAACATATGAAGAAACAAAATACGTAGCAAAATAACAGACTGAGGGCTTGGGATTTAACTCAGTGGTTCCGCCACCAGACTCGCAAGCACAAAGACCTGAGTTCGATCCCCGGAACCAATTAATTAATTAATTAATTGATTAACAGATTGAAATATAACAATATTAATTATCACAATAAATGCAAATGGTCTAAGCACCTCGGAGAAAAGGCAGAGTTTATAATTGATAGGGCTGGGGATTTAGCTCAGTGCTTCCACAGCCAGCTTCGCAAGTACAAGGTCCCAAGTTCGACCCCTGGTACCAAAAAAAAAAAAAAAAACCGAAAAACAAAAAACTGATGTATGAGGGAAGAGAGAACCAAATTATGCCTACAAGAAACATACTTCTAATATAAATTAGTTTAAAATAAAAGGACGTTAGAAAGACATACTGCATTATCACTAACCAAATTACAGTTGAAAAGTCCTCCAGATAAAGCCGATCTCAGAACAAAGAATATTACAAGAGTGAAAGGTCATTTTCTGAAGATAAAGCATATCAATTCATTAATATAAACTAGCAATCCTAAATGTTTATGCAGAACTGCAAAATACATAAATTAAGAACTTTCAAAAACTGGAAGAAACAGGTAACATATAATTATAGCTAGAGATTTCTAATATTCCTATCTCATGAATTGATAGACCCAGTGGAAAGCCATTAAGGACACAAAAGGTATCACACAAACCGCTGACTTGGCCTAGTTGATATTTACAGACCACTCACCTAGATATCAACAACAGAAAGATCTCTTTAACCCTTTTCCCCGAGTACTATGGAGCTAACAAACAGACTTCTAAATAACCCAGGGGCCTAGGCATTTCAAAATGAGGTGACAGTGAAGACACAGAATAGCAGGATTTGCAATCCTGCCAAAGTCATCAAGGAAAATCTCAAAAAAAAAAAAAAAACTAGACAAAGAATAGATGAAATATCAAGTTAAAAAATTAAATCAAAGTAGAAATCACTGAAATACAAAACAGAAAATAAAAGGAAAAAAAAATCAATGAAACCAAAAGTTGTTTCTTGGAATTCATAAAACTGTAGCTAGGCTGGCAGGAAGAGGATGAGAGAGGAGAGGGGAAAGAGAACAAATTGCTAATGTGAGGAATAAGATGTCAGCAGGGCCAGGGTAGCTCAGCGGCACCGTCCCCACCTCACAAGTGCAAGGTCCTGAGTTCGATCCCAGGTACAGGGAAAAAAAAAAAGTACCACTAGGGATAACACAGATATTGAAAACAAAGGGATACTGTTATGCCAATATATCGGACAAATCAGATAAAATAGCCAAATTTCCTGAAACACATAAATTACCAAGATTTCAAGAAAGAATAACATAAAAATCCCTTATTAATCATAGAAATTTCATTTGTCTTTAGGTATTTTCTCATAAAGAAAACTCAGGCCAAATGACTTGATTATGCCAAACATTTAAAAAATGGAATCAACTTTTTCTGAAAACCAAAAATGAAGAAACATATCCTAACTCCTTTTATACCAACAGAGACATGGATGAAAACCACGTACCTTCATCCCTACACAGTGTATCATAAATGCAAAACTTCCACTGAAAATTTCAGCAATTCGAATTCAACACCACATAAAGAGAACAGTGCACACCGACCATTTAAGGGATATCCCAGGAATGTAGACTGGTTTCACATTTTAAAAAAATCAATGTTACCATATTAATATTTTACAAAATGAACTAAATGACCATCTGAGAGAAGAAAAAAAGCATCTGACAAAATCTAACACCCATTCTTGATTAAATATTGTGGTACCTCAGTTCATGAACCTAATTCTTTCCACGATTTGAACTCAAACCGAACTGGACAAGAACTGAATCAAATTCAATGGTTGGATTCAATGTTGACCTCACAGGGAAATTTGATTCACTTCTTGTCCAATTTGGTTCGCGACCAGAATCATGGAAAGAATAAAGTTTGTGAACCCAGGTACCACTGTACCTTTAGGAGACTAAGAACAGAAGGGAATTCCTCCAACTGATAAAGGCATCAACGAAAAACCTACAGCTGACATCACACTTGCTCCTAACAGACTGGATGCTTTCTCCCTGGATCACACAAGACAAAGCTGCCCGCTCCCACCTGTTCTCCCATCACTGTCATGGAGGGTCCTATCCAGAGCAGCAGTGAAAGAGGACATCTAGACGGAAAAGCAGGAAGTAAGTAATGAACGTGCCCACTGATAAATAAAACCCAGCGGGGTCTACTACAAGCTACTAGAACAAATACTGCTACAGAATAGCAGTTCACTAAAATCTAAATAAAAGTATAACATTCAAAGTAGCACTAGGAACATTAAAGAGACGAGTACACTGCAAACTGCAAACGCGGCTGAGAGAAGGAAACTCACATAAATAACGGAAAGACAATGTTCATCCTTGGCAGACTCGAAACTGCCAATGTGTTGGTTCTCTGCAAACTAATCTACACACGGCAGTCCAAACAAAAATTCAAGTGGGCTGTGTAGAAATTGACAGCAGATATAAAACTGTACCAGA